CTGAGAGCTGAGAAATGCTGAACTCGTGCGGCTAACGCATACGAAACGGATGGCACGCACACATGCATTCTCCCCGTTTAAACGGTTATAAACAGTTGATTGGACGTTTAATTCAAAACTCAAAACTTAGTAACCAGTTGACATATGAAAAACATCACGTCGCATCCCTCGTTATTCTGCTTACGTAAGTGAAAGCAAGAGATGAGATGCGACGTGCTGTTTTTGCTCTCAGTCTTTCATATATTCTGAAAGTGTACGTCTAACGCATACGAAACGGATGCACGATACATATTCCCCTTTCACTTCATATGTTCGCTGGTATAGTGTGTAACCGTTGTACCGGCAATAGCGTCAACGGCAGCACATACGAAGCGAAAGGGGAATATGTATCGTGCATCCGTTTCGTATGCGTTAGCCGCACGAGCTCAGCATTTCTCAGCTCTCAGCTATATGCTGAGCAGCAGCAAATCAGGATACTCTGCTGATTAATTATCTTGTTGAAATATCATTGATTAATTGAGCAGACAATTGACGAAAAGTGATGATGTGATGCAAATTCATTGACGCGAGCAATCATCACATATGCCTACAACCAACTATTAAGGGCTGTTATATAAATTAGAAACGTAATTAAAATGAAAACAACGCGGTATTACAATGAAATTATTTTTGCATTTATTCACAAAAAAATTATTATTATTATAAACAAACAAATTAATTAAAACATATACTCAAACACCAAAAAATACCAACACTCAGGTATTTATAATCATAAATATTAACTATTTCATTTTCAATTCCAATATAAATAAAATTAATAAGAGTGTCGGTGCTAATACATAGCATTTTTTCTGCTGTGTTTATTATCATTTTATCGTGGATTCTTGTTCCTCTTCAAATAATAAATGAACACCAATTGTTAGTATATCAACCCTTTTACATAGTGTTTTGAACAACCAAGAGAGAACAAAAAATCCTGAAAATTAATAATGGAAGCAAAAACAATAAGGCAAATTTGCATCAATAACTGACCAAAAATACCGACAAAAGGACAAGAAACAAAAAAAAAACAACATATTAATCCGGTTATGATATGTCATATATACACTTTGTAAAAGCGAATGCACATTGCACATGCACACCAACACTTTTCACTCACCACCGGTGCATTAATAATGAATTTGAGCATGTCGTGTGAAGTGAGAACGACATTTAAAAATAACAAACATTTAATTTAATTTTTTTAACACAAATAGCTATGGTAACTCAAACCACTTATTCTCTCATGGTTCATGCCACTACTTTTCATTTCATGTAATACATGCTCATTAACCTAGTCATTAACACTTGTGTACATTTTCATACACACCAATTTCTTTTATTTGAGAACAAGACACAATCGATGAAATATATTTAGTTCACTTTTGCTTAAATTTTGAATTTTGACAGCCTCTATAGAGATTTTTCTGCATGTTTGAACTCCATCGAAATTAACTGTGCGTCGCATAAGATTGAATTTTTTCTTCGTCAGTATGTACAATTTGCGCTAATAGGTCATTTTGGTTTGGTGCTGCAGTCCTGGATGGCATCGGCAGCAATGGCTGCCACTTGGCTGTTTACTACTATTAAAATTGTACAATGGTTTTGCTTCAAACACCCGAATATCTCAGAGAGTTGGCTTCAGATGTGGCACTTGATTTGTCCAATTTTCATAGGAAGTACATTGTGGTTCTCATTGCTTTTTTGACCAAGTATTAGTAGAGTAGAAAAGCCGGTTCTAAAACGTGAATTAAATTGATATCAAATTTATATTATTTTAATTCATGTTTTAGGTTAAAAAAATTAATTTTAATAAATAATTAAAAAAATTCATTAATTATTTTATTTTTATTTTTCAAATATTTTTCTTCGATTTTTCTCAAATATTTCAATTTTACATCAATTATTTTTCATTTTTTTTTTTCAAATATTTTCCAGTGCTTATAAAACGCACGCTTAGCATCAAGTCAGACTCATAAATTGTGCTGTGTATCAGGCATTGAGCTATGTGCCACTCAATTATTTTTGAGTAGGTGCGCAACTCACTCAGAGTGCTTGCGAGCAGCTCATCCTCCAACAATTGGTCACCATACAATGAGATATATGCTCACAAAGAGTGCTCGGTGCGATGCGGAGCACTGATATTTTCCAATTTTTTCTTTGATTTTTTCTCAATTATTTGAATTTTCCTTCAATTTTTATTTATTTCCATTTTTTAATATAAAAAAACACCGTATTCTTTATTAATAAAAGTTTAATATTCTTTATTATTATAAATGTACTTAATTAATAAAAGTTTGTTGGGAAATCAAGATTGAAAATTTAAAAAAAAATGTAAATGTCTTAGGGAATATAACCGAATGTGAAGAAGTTGATGGTTGTTCTGTGGACGCTGTCGATGAAGTTGATGGTGGCTCTGTTGATGTTGTAAATGAGGTTGATGGTTGTCCTGCTGACTCTATCAGTGAAGTTGATAGTCGCATGATAGATTTAAAGGTGGTTCGTCTATCTCCATATCATCACTAATATTGATTATTTCATTAACACTACTTCCAATTTGTATTTCACTAGTATTCACTTCACCCATCACATCGTCGTATATGTTGATCACATCGCGAGTTCCATCCATTGTATCATCGCAAATGATCACATCACTGGATATGGGACGTTGTAACATTATCTTTCTCGGTGATGTTAGGTCTATAGGTGATGTTAGATCAATTGGTCCATCTACAAGCATCGATTCATTCGCTAATGAATTTATTGGTGTTGATGCAATTCGACGTGCATTCTCCTCCAAACCGCATGAAAATGCTGTGAAATCTGAATGTGGTGGCGAATATGGTGATCTATATGGTGGTGGTGAATATGGTGATCTATGTGGTGGTGGTGAATATGTATATGGATGCATTCGCGGTGAATGTCGTTGCACTCGTGGTGAAACTACCGGACGTGCATTCACATTTGTTAGCTGCTCCTGATTCACACCACTCTCAACCAAATGCACCATAATCACATCACGTAGTATATAGACTGTTGCTATTTAAAAACGATTTGTTATGAATAAAAAAGGAGATGTTATGAACTAAAATAAATTGTTACGAATTATAATGAATTATTCATTGGTATACTTAAATAATAATTCATTTATTAAATACTCGAGCATTTTTAATAGAATTTTCTTGGAACTTATTAAAAACAACCACTTGTGAACTGTCTCAAAAAAAAATGAATGATCTTGAACATCTCAAGACTTTGAATTTATAGATACATTTTTTAAAGAAATGTCCCCCCCACCACTATTCTAAAATCTACACATATTGGCATTTTTTCATGAAAAAATGATAGCAAACAAGACCAAGAAGAAAAAAAAAAGAAGACATATTTCACCTATGAACTTTATGACCCCCCAAGAAACATACCTGTAAAAAAAATGTAATAAAAACTAATATTGTCCTCTTTAAGTGAGCAGGAGAGAGAGAGAGAAATGATAAATAAAGAGTATTCTAAATTAGCTCTTGTTTTCACCGACATTCTTTTTTTTGTGAAATAAAAAATATAGTTTTTTTGGAATTTATCATAGATGTACTCAAATTTATTGATTTCATTTTGATTACATTAAACTACCACAAAAAAATGATAGTTGAAATTCTGAAAGTATTTTTTATAAAGTATTTAATGATACGTTTTCTAACAATCGCAGTAGTCATTCGAACCCATCAAGAATATCAAAGTCGATGATTAATCTAAGAAAATATAAGAAAAAAATGAATTTTAAAACAATTTAAATGTGATGATTGCATAGATATTTCATTATTTTTATACTATCATACCTATTTCCTAGTGATGCATCTTTCCCCCCATAACGAAGAACATACAACCCTTTATTCACTTCTGCAATATCTTCTTCAGTGAAGCATTGTACAAAACGTTCTGGCAAAAGAACAATTTTATCATCCAATTCAACGCGTACTTTTACACCAAAATTTTTGGTTGTAATAAGAGAGACCGACAAAATTGAATGATCACCCAGAGGCAATTTATCAAAATTTACCAATGGTTTGTCAGCAGATGCATTTTTTAATTTTTTCAAAATTGATGATGTCATTTTCGAGGATTTTATGTTTCTGATGTACTTCACCGTGAAATTACAAAATCGTAATGATGTGAAGTGTCAAATTGTTTCATATTTATATGAAGTTTAACGTGGATTTTCAACATCGATCTACTTTGAACTCACCGCTTTTATTACCCTCGTTTTTTATTTTTACTACTTTTTCCGCAGAAAAATTGATGAAAAATCCAAAAAAACTGCAATAAAATCATGCTCTATGAATAAAAAAAAATCGACAACTCTTTGATTCACCGCACTGTAATGAAATTTGTTGCATCATTTAAAAAAAACTCTATTTTTTTACTTTTTTATTGTTTATGGAAAAAGAATACAAAACACTTTGATCCGCCGCTGCAATAAAAAAATCCTTTTTTTATGTCAAGTGCGCATTTTATAGCACTATTTTTTTCGAAACAATTTTCTTACTTTTTTATTATACTATTAATTTTTCACGAAAAAAAAAATTCACAACAATCCTTTTTTTCTGTTCCATCTTAGTCAAAATGAACATTTTATAGCACTTTTTTTTTTCTCTAAAAAGATGAGATTTTTCATAAGATAACACTTTGATCTACCGCTGTAATAAAAAAAAACCTTTTTTTTCTGTTCCACCTTAGTCGAATAAGTTTTTTTATAACACTTTTTTTTCGAAAAAAAAAAAACGTTTTTCTCCAGTGAAGAAAAGCTCTTTTGATCAACCGCATTTGTATGAAAACGCAAATAAGCTGACATTCCCTCTCATCTTTCCCCCCTCTTTCTCACACTAAATAATTCGACTTAAATAACATATGTTTCTTCAAAATGAGCATTAGTTCTATTCAAACATTCAAACTGAATTACATTCACCATGAATGCACAATTGAATAAAATCGAAGAGCGAGATTCCTTATCAATCAATTATATGAATGATGAAAAAAATCGTTTAAACACCTTCGATGATAGTTGGCCGCACATTCACATTAGTCCACATATTCTCGCCAAAACTGGATTCTATTTTATTGGGTTGAACAACTCCAATGATCGAGTTAAATGTAATTTCTGTAAAGTTGAAGTGCAAGACTGGGAGACTGGTGATAAGGTGTTAAATGAACATCTTCGATGGTCACGAAATTGTCCATTGCTTAATCGGTGGAAAACACAAAATCTGCCCATGGAACCAGTTTCTGCTTTAGATCAGTTATTATCACAAATTGGTCATGATGTGACATCTTTTATCGATCGACGACCTGGTGCTTATGTAGAAACACAAATGATTAAATACCCCGATTTTCCAGAATTTTCCATGAAAACTGTACGATTGCAATCATTCGACGGATGGCCCAATACATTGAGATTAACAGCTGAGCAATTGAGTGATGCTGGATTCTTTTATACACACATTGGTGATCGAGTAATTTGCTTCAGTTGTGGTGGCGGTTTATATCAATGGAGTGAAGAAGACGATCCATGGGAACAGCATGCACTATGGTATGGTGAATGTGACTATCTAGTCCATATGCAAGGATCTCATTATGCTCAATTAATCAAATCGAAGTTCGAGGAAAAACAATAAAAAAAATTGTAAAGCAATCAGAACAGTGGTGATAACTTTTCATCGTGAGAATTTGTACCATCACCATGTGGTAGAAACTATTTTTAGTGTACAGAAAATGTTACATCATAAAAAAGTTCACCCCTTTGTCCATCATTTTTTAGCATTTAAATAAATAAATATAAAAACATAAAACCTTTTCTCTTTTTTTTTTTCATTCGTCTATTTTTTTTTTATGACAACAAAAAAAAAGCTATTTTTTTCTAACTCCTTTGATCTACCGCTGCAATAAAAAAATATCAGAGGAAATTGTGAGAGCTGCAATAAAATTAACTTCTTTTTTTCTAAATCAGCTTTCATCTCACCGCCTATACTTTTATCGCAGTATCATTAAAAAAATGAAAAAAATAGTGCTTTATTAAGAAAAAATTCACAAATTTCGAGTCGGTTTATATATATATTTCATAGTGTCTCTGAAAGTTATCATTTCTTTGGTGGAAGTTCATATCATCGGAAGTCAGAAGAAATGTCTTCAAAAGTATATTTTGATATTCGACAATCCGCTTTCAAAAAGAGAATTTTCACATTTTCAATTGTTAATAAAGATCATATTGATGTACGTGCTTTTTTTGCTGACGCTGAGCCGCTTTTTAAGAGAGAAATTTTTAGATTAATTAAACGACATTTTCTAATTAAAGTAAATGCATGTTTTGTGGCAGTATTTGAAAAAAAAATCTCGAGAGAAGAAGAGGAAATAACAGAAAAGCAGACAATTTACATTCGAACTAACACTGAACTTATTGGTCCCCATACAGATTTAATTACATTATATAAAAATGATATAAATAATTACACTATTGCGCAAATTGATGAAGTTGTTATGCAAGGGTCTGGATTTTCTTTATCGGAAATTATTGAACTGAATGTTGAAGTTAATAATTATGATCCATTGAGAGGTTCATCATTTATTCCATTACCTAAATACTTGTCTTCAAAGAAAGCGATAATTAATGTTGAAAATGATGATACAATGTGTTTTAAATGGGCTATATTATCCGCACTTCACCCATCGATAGCGAACCCATCACGTTTAAGAAATTATTTGTATTACGAAAATGAACTTGATTTTACTGGCATTGACTTCCCTGTTAACATTAGTCAAATATGTAAATTCGAGAAATTGAATCCTCTGATTTCTGTCAATGTTTATATATTTGAGGATCATGGAGATGATAAAAAAAAAATTCTTCCCATTCGCATCACTAAAAATGTGAAACCTAAACACATTCATCTGCTGCTAATTACAAGCCCATTGATTGACTCCAACGGCGAAGTAAACTTCCAATCACACTATTGTTGGATAAAGAATATTAGCCGTTTATTGTCATCTCAAATATCAAAACATGCACATAAACACTTTTTTTTGCGATCGATGTTTAAATTATTTTCAAACCTCAGCAAAATTGCAATTTCACACTAAAAATTGTGTTAATCAAAATGATTATGCAATCGAAATGCCGACAGAGGAATGACATAATTAATTTTGAGAATCATCGAAATAAGTTAGAAGTACCGTTTATAATTTATGCTGATTTGGAAGCTATTTTAAAAAAGCCTGATGGAGAGTTTTGTAAAAACAGCAATAAAAACACCACCACTGCATATCAACAGCATGAAGCTTATAGTGCCGGCCTCTACTTCAAATGTTCATATGATAATTCATTATCATATTATGCAAGTAATCGCGGACCAAATTGTATTAGTTGGTTTGTGCATGAACTTTACTCAATCGCCAATTTAGCTCAACAGCGATTAAACAACATTATTCCAATAAAAATGACACCTGATGAGGAGAAGGCTTTTCAAAATGCAAAACAATGTCACATTTGTGAAATTGAGTTTGAAACCGCTTCAATTAAGGTCAGAGATCATTCACATTTGACCGGACAATTTCGTGGAGCAGCACATCAGGATTGCAATCTTACTTATAGAGAAAGTCGCATGATCCCCGTTGTCTTTCATAATTTATCAAACTACGACTCACACTTCATAATGCAAAAATTGGCTTCCGAATATGATGGTGATATTTCGATAATTCCAATTAATTCCGAAAAATACATATCATTTTCAAAAACACTGCTTGGGGTTTCTGGCAAATATCAAGATTCAATTAAGTTGAAATTCATCGATTCATTCCGATTTATTCCTTCTTCATTGGACTCTTTATCATCGCTAATTCCATCGGAAAAAAAAAACAGATTTTGAGAACTGAATGTATGAATTTAAGTGAAGAGCAATTAAAGTTTTTGGAGCGAAAGGGAGTTTTTTGTTACGATTATATTGATTCATGGGAAAAACTAGATGAAAATTCACTACCCCCTCAACATGCGTTTTACAGCACATTAACCAATCAAAAAATTTCTGATGATGATTATAATTTTGCAAAAGGGGTGTGGGACAAATTTAATATAAAAAATCTAGGAGATTATTCTGATCTATATTTAAAAACAGATGTACTTTTATTGGCAGATGTTTTTGAAAATTTTCGTAAAACCTGTCGCGATATATACAAATTGGATCCAGCGAACTATTATACATCTCCAGGACTATCTTTCGATGCAATGCTGTATCATACAAAGGTCAAGTTGGAATTATTAAAAGATGTTGATATGCTTATGTTTGTCGAGCGTGGTATTCGGGGAGGTATAAGCCAATGTAGTAAGCGTTATGCATCAGCAAATAATAAATATATGGACAGTTTTAATGAGAATGAAGATACTAAATATTTGATGTACCTTGATGCCAACAATTTATACGGTTACTCCATGATGCAGCACTTACCCCACTCCGATTTTCGCTGGTGTGAAACCGGATTTGACCATGAAAAAATTATGGAACTAGTGGATGATGGGGATATTGGATATATTTTCGAGGTTGATCTCGATTATCCCTCGCATTTACATGACAAACATAATGATTATCCGTTTTGTGCAGAAAATATGAATGTTCCAGGCACCAAAAACGTTAAAAAATTACTTTTAACATTATTTGATAAAAAAAACTATGTTATCCACTATAGAATGTTGAAATCAGCGCTACAACATGGTCTAATTCTAAAAAAAATTCACCGCGTTCTACAATTTAATCAAAGTAATTGGCTAAAACCATATATAATGCTTAATACCCAATTGAGAACACGCGCTACGAATGAATTTGAGAAAAATTTCTTCAAATTGCTCTGTAACGCAATATTTGGAAAAATGATGGAAAATTTGCGGTCTCGCGTAGATATAAAATTAAAAACATGTTGGGATGGGAGATGTGGTGCACGAATGCTTATAGCTAAACCAAATTATAAAAGAAGTATTATATTCGATGAAGAGCTAGTTGCAATTGAAATGAAAAAAACATATGTTTTCATGAATAAGCCTATTGCAATTGGATTGGCCATTTTGGACATTTCAAAGGTGGTCATGTATGATTTTCATTATAATTTTATGAAGTCTAAATATGGGGATGATGTTATTTTGAATTATACAGACACTGATTCATTTATTTATGAAATAAAATCAGCGGATTTCTATGATGATATGAAAGCGGAAATTTGGAGATATGATACAAGCGATTATGCGGAAAGTAACATTTATAAAATTCCAAGGGTGAATAAGAAAGTGCCTGGACTATTTAAAGATGAAATGAATGGTCAAATTATTTCCAAATTCATCGGGTTACGCAGCAAAATGTATTGCGTGCAAAAGTTTGAGACAGATGAGATGAGAAAAGCCAATGAGAGGAAAAAAGACAATGGGGAGAAGATAGAATCCAATGAGATGAAAAAGGCGAAAGGAGTAAAAAAATATGTACTAGAAAACCAGATATGTTTTAATGATTGGATTATTATTGGATTATTGGATTTGAACGGGGAGTGTACTGTTCTAAATGAATACAAAGTAAAACTCGTTGCTCAGGTTTCACAACCTATTGCAAGACGCCCGTGTGTGTATTATGATACACGAAATAGTCTTTATCCAAAAATATGTACGAGACATGGATTTTGTTCACATGCCCGCTTGAAAAATTGTACCAGTCTGAATACGTTAGGTGCATGAATCATCTGGTAGGATCTCCATCCAGTGAACCTGTCCCTAATTTCATTCAGCCTTGAACATCTGTCTACAAGATGGGATGTTGTTTCCACTTCATCACCACAAAGTCTACAGTCAGGGTCATCCCTAAGATTTAGCTTTCTTAGGTGATTATTGACTCTGGCATGTCCGGTTAGTAAGCCAATGACCATCCGTAGGTCTCCCTTGGAAAGCTCAGTCAGGTTGGCTGTAAGTTTGGGACATGGGAGCTGCACGAAATGTTTCGTTTGCTCACATGTAAAAGTACCCTGCCAATTGAGGCGGGCTCTATTTTTGAGCCATGTTGCAACAGTGCCCTTGACTCGTGAATAATCTATTGGTAGAAACGGTTCAGGTCCTTCCACTGCACTAAGGGATGCTGTTTTAGCAGCCCCATCTGCAAGGTCGTGCCCTCTTATACCAATATGCGACCTGATCCAAACAACTCTAAGATTGTTTGTTTCGGCAATACACTGTAATGCTCTGTAGCAGTTCATAACCAAGCTACTCTCCACCTTGAATCTTTGAAGATCCGATATAGCACCTAGGCTATCGGTGAAGATCGCAATGTTACCCTCCACAGTGCCCTCCATTATTTTGTTTGCACAATGAAAAATTCCAGCTATTTCGGCCTGTTTGACTGTTGTTATCCGTCCCAGGGGAATTGAGCGAGTACTGTTCTCTGTTTCACAGTAGAACCCACAGCCACTGCCTGTTTCTCTGACTGATCCATCAGTGAAAAAGGAGTGATGAGCCCACTCTTTTTGCTGGAAAAATTCATTTAGATTATTTGTTATTATAATCTCAAAACTCCTACTAAAATTGTAGGAGGAAGTCTTAAGTTTGTCAGAAGGAGCCTCAAGTACCCTTTCAATATTAAAAAGGTTTCTTAAGGCA